CCCGGGCCAGTTCAAGTCCTGCAATCAAAGCCTCATACTCCGCTTCATTGTTAGTCAAGGAAACAGTTTTTATGGCCTGCCTCAGGACTTCTCCCGAGGGCGTGACTAAGACCACCCCTAGCCCAGACCCTTTTGATCGGTGCCAAACCTACACCACTATTGAGTAGCGAAGATAGTCGATGTAGTTTTACCCAACAAGGTCGGGATCGATTTTCATGGGGAGTTAATTGATTTGGAATTAGGTATTTATCTAAATCTAGATGTGTGTGTTGTTCCTAATTGCATTTCCAAACATGATGGTGTTGATTCTACTTATATTTATATTTCTATTATATGCTAAGATTAAAGCTAAGTATAATATTTTTGATGATAGCTTTCAAGTGTTTAAAAAGACTAGGGTAGTGACTTCCGCCTAGGTAGATATCTAACGGGTATCAAGAATCTAGGGCGAGTTTGATTTGATTGGGGTCGTAATATAACTATCACACCCAAGTACTCACTCTATACCTCTCGGTAGTTTGATTGATTTTGCCCAATTTGGTTTTCTTAAGTCCAAATGGGTATTCATGCAATACAAGTGATATTAGCTCAAGTCGGGTATTACTATCTCTAGGTTTAACCCTTTTATTGGGGCTATCAATTTCTTGAGTTCACCCCAATTCCTTGTTAGCCTAGTTTTTCTAGACTTAGTCCCTCTTTCTCAAGAAGAGCCTAAGTCACAAAGGCATGAATCAGTGTTTGTAACTACTAATTCTACAATTCAAGCATGAACTAGGCTAAATATCACTAACCCATAAACAATCAAACCCTAAAATTCAAGACCCATTAAATACCCACACTAGGGTTGGGTCACAACCCTAGCTATGGGTCTAGCTACTCATAATAATAGCATAAATCAAAGATAAAGAGAAGATATAATCCATAATACTAAATTAAAAGATGAAAATCTAATGTTATAAGGTAAATCTTGTACAAAATTGCCCAAAAGGGAAAACCTAGCCGTCTCACGTACTCAACAAAAATATAACATAACCTAAAATTGACAAAAAGATCTATTTATACTAAGCTGAAATTTTCGGACAAAAATACCCATGCGGAAGTTTCGCGGCCGCGTAATTCTAATCACGACCGCACACTTGCTTTTGCGGCAGCGTAATTCTGATCGCGGTCCGCGTTTCTTCACATCTGGACCTGGATTGAACCTTGTTTCGCAGACCGCGTAATTTCCACTGCGTCCGCGTAAGAGACTTCCGCGGCCGCGTAACTTTGACGCGGACCGCCCTTCTCATTTTTGCTTGAATTATGCACTCTCTGAACCTTGGCAACCGCGGTCCGCAAAATTTTCATCGCGGTCGTGCTGGTACTTTTGCGGCCGCATCTTCTTGTCGCGGTCCGCGTTCATGTTTGTGCCCAAAAAACCATCTCTCTGATTCTTCATATCGCGGACCTCGAAATAATGGCCGCATCTGCGTTGATACTTTCACGGCCGCACTTTTTTGTTGCGGTCCGCGTTCCATACCTCTTGGCTCAGTCTTGATTTGTTCAAGTTTTGACTCCTTTATGAGTTGAATATAGCTCCTTTGGCTCATTTTGAACAATCCCTGCAAGCAAGCATATTAAGTTAATATTCAGGAATACATTCACGCATTTTTGGCCCAAAACACAAGTAAAAGAGAGCAATTAATAGGCTAAAATCCCTACTTATCAATTCCCCAAACTTAAGCTTTTGCTTGTCCTCAAGCAAATAAGGTAATTCCCACCTCCACAAGAAAAAAAAAGGATATTTCAGCTGGCCTATGGTGACTTCATCAAGCATCAATTGGGACTAACAATTACCTTCAACACAAATGAATTATCAACAACGTCATGTTCTGACCTTTTGAGTTCCATAGTTCTAATGTGACACTAGAGCATCAAGAGTTGACTCAATTTATCAAGGAAGCTCGCTCTATCACGTAGGTCATTGTGAATCCCAAACTCCTCCTCCTCTACTCTCCATGAGCAAATCTCACTTTTTAGACTGTAACACTCAAAAAAAAGGATTGTGAAGAAGTGCGCTCATCACTCTTAAAAGAATGTCACAAGTCCGGCTCTAAGTACCATAAGCTTGCTCCTTATGTAAATCACCACTAATGTAAGCTCACTCAACTTGAAATCATATAGGGCTTTAGCAGGGATGTAATGAAGGCTTTTGGATCAAGGTAGGACATAACGAACTATGATGGTTTTATCTTTCCTTAAGCATTCCATTTTCTCATTTCGGCCCATACTTTCTTGACTCTTTGAGTCATTTTCCTTCTTTCTTAGGGGAACTAGAGAGACAAACCGTCACTCTTTCTTACTCATAATAATCATTTTTCTCCTTTTCTCATCATTCCTTGCCTTTCATCATTATGTTCTTTGAATCCCTTCAACCTTCTCTTTCTTTTTGACATATTTCTTTTTGGCTTTTCTTCCTTTTCTTTGCCTTTCCTTTTTTTTTTCGAACCTTTTATCACTTTCAATTTTCTCGTCTCTCCCCCAAACTTATGCTTTTGCCAATTGTTCATCATGAATGCTAAGGAAAGATTGGGTGCCAAGAGAGGGTCATTATAAAATAGATAAAGGCTTGTAATATGGCTATTGAATGAAAAAGGTTTAGGCTCAAAGGGGTTGACTAGGGATATCATAATGGTAGACTACGGAAGCTTTCAAAGTTCAAATTGGACCAAGGAGAGCCTACAATCACTTCTCAAGTCGAGCTACACTTAGAATTTCGCCTAGACAAACATTCAGGGCAAGTTCTAGACTTATTGGCACGGGACTTGGACTTGCAATTTAATACCTCACCTCTCAAGCTACTGGATTATTAAAGAGAACAGAGTCGAGGGCCCACAACAACCCTAGCTAAGATTGAAGATCACAAATGGCTCAAAGAAACCACTCGATGATTGTTTTAGTCAACTCAAGAGTCTAAAGGTCATAACTAGAGCTATTCTTTGTCAATCAACTTGTCTCTAACCATGAGGTCGAAGGTAAATGTGTTAGTACCAAGTGAAGTCTACTTGAGACACTTTTATTTATTACTACTATATATCAAAGCAAAAAGAAAACGGACTCAATCCCTTAAGAAGGTTGTCACGCCATCCATCGTTGGGAAGAGCCACCCGGTTCACATAACATTCACCTTTGGAAAGAACCGTGGCATTAAGAAAACCAAAGGCTTATTGATCACGCAGAATGTAAAAAGAAGCTAAAAACTCAAAAATAAGCTACTAAAGGAAATAAGAAGCTAAGCTATTAAGGAAAAATACGAAAGAAGTTATGAAGTAAACTACGGAAAGTAAAATAAATATGTACAATAATGGAGTGAAACGAATATATACATCGAATGGTAAAATTATATACATACCAAAAGTGAAAAATAACGAACATCATAATTAAAAAGATCCTTTCTTCATTTGGTTTATGTTTTTTTAACATCATATTAGTTTTCTTGGTTTTAGAAGGGGAGCAACGGTAAAGTTGTCTTCGTGTGACCTATAGATCACGTGTGCGAGCCGTAGAAGCAGCCACTAATGCTTGCATTAAATTAGGCCATCTACATCACACCCTTTAGGATTCCCTGGACCCCGCGTGAATACGGAATGCATGCGTTGTGCACTGGGCTGCCATATTAGTTTTCTTGGTTTCGGAACATTTTTGTAATTTGGAGTGTTATGGTAGGGTTTGTTTATGTTTTCTATAGCAAATGAGACATATATTAACATTGACATTAATATGATTTTCTTTAGAAGTCTGTCCTTGCATGAGATGGCAACATTTTTCACACACATTTCTCCCTCCTTGCAAGTCTGGACTTTGAGTCTGGAGAAGGAAGTACAGAGATCATATTAACAAAGGTTAAAAAAATATAAAAATACAATTACCAGATCTAGACAAATATGGACTTAGCAGCAACCTTATAGAGTCTCTAATACGAGTTCCTAGTGTTTAATCAATTGCCACATCAACTGCTGTATAATACAAGGGGTAACATTAACAACATTTTCAGGTCAGTGCTGCAAAATATTTCTAGTTGCTTATTAATTACCAGCATGAGACATCAACTTCCTTAAACATCTCTGTCAACAAAACCACACACGTAACGCTAGCACAGACCATCAAGTTACCCTGGCACTTACGGTAACAAGTTGCACTTCAGACACCGGTTGTCCCAGAAATTACAAGTTTCCAACCATTCTCACATCCCAAGTTCCCAGAATGTTCCCTTTCGACTACTGCTGTTTTTAAGATACAAGTTATAACTAAGCAATGCTAATCTACTGTCTGCATATGTGCGCACGTTTAATTTTTCTGATCCTGTATTGAGTAGTTATGTGAGGAATGGGTGCGAGCAGGGATATGTGACCACTAGTTCAACCTAATTAGAAGGTGCCCACTTAATGACCAGCTAGGATTTTTTAAGATGTTTACACAGATTGCACCTTAAAGGTCTGAAATTAGACCCAGCCCGTGCGGGGTAGATGATAAGGTTTGTAACACCTTAAGCAATTGGTATGGTCTTTCACATTAGAATAAGTTAAATCCTGATCTTAACTGTTAATGTGATATAAGTGAACCATAAATCGCAATCTATCCAAGAACAATAACCACTCACCCAGGGCACGCCAGATTTTCCAGCCCTCCCCACCACCACGTCTCCTAATCCTAATCACATCAGCTTCGACTGTAAAACATTTTGAATATGGTGTTACATTAAGGAACATCTTAGAAGACTACAAAATAGAAAATACTAATTCTATCTTCTGTTTGAAATTGTGGTATATGGCCTACCACCAATTTATGGTTGAATTAGGAAACAGACAAATATATACATGCCTCAACAACACAACAACAAATAGTAGGGGAGAGGAGAGAAGGTTGCTTGGACAAAATACACCAATTACGCATAAAGGCAACCAAAAAATTGAACAAGTTAGCAAGATTGAAAAGGCTCAAGCAATATGACAGTAAGCATGTAAGGAAAAGCACCAATTCCTCAAAACTAAAAACTCCATTGTTGAAACTTTGAAACATTAGCATTCACTCCCAAATTATTCCACATCTGTAATCTGTTTGCAATAACTAAAAAACAACGAAAAAAAGAAAGAGGAAAGCATCAATTGCCCCAAAAGTCAGCAGTAACAATTTAACGAAATTAGAGCAGTTAGCCTCTTTCGATTCACATCTACCACAAAGAGCAGGTTTATTTCAATCAATCCAGCATCATCTGCATCTGTTTTCATTTTCTCGAAAAAAAAAAACGCATTACCTGCTGCTGAAATAAAACAGCAAAAAACTAACATAACTACTACACTGCCCATACGATCATCAGAAGCTAACCAGATTCGTTGTTTTGCTTCCGGCGAGCAATATCAAGGAAAAATGCAGTCAATATAGTTTCATAAGACGGCATCTTAGCATATCCAGGGAAGTAATTGATATCAATAACAAGATACCGATTTCCAGCTCTAGTATCTCTTATCATATCAAAGTTAAAAAGATGCAACTTCAAAGCATCCCTCAACTGATTAGCCACTTCTGTCACAAATCCCAACGGAGGCATCTCCGCATTTTCAATCAGTGCAGCAAAACTATCATCATTCTGATCTTGAGCAGTCAAATTAGATATCTGCGAAAACGCTATCAAATTCTCTAAAGTGCCCAATTTCTCCTCAGAAATATCAGGCAATGACCTTCTTTTCACACATTTCACATGTTCCCCTGCTACATAAACCTTAAAAATAACTCCACCATGATTAACAAACTCCTGTAACACGATTGGTGGTTTCAGCTCTTCTAGTCCTTCTGGTTTTAAAACTAAATACATTTGGTGTGAATCAGCTGTCCCATTAGCAATTAAAGGCTTAGCAATAACGGGAAAATCCAACCCTTGACGTGTGATATGGTCTAAGAGGGAATCGGAATTTTCTTGAATAAAAATCTGAAGAGGGATTCCAATAGTTTCATTTTCTTGGGTGATTTTTAATTCGTTAACAACTTCAAGCATTGAAATTCGGTTGTGGAGTTTTTCAATAGCATCTATGGGATCTATAATGATGGTGGTTGGGTTCTGAAGGGAAAATTCTTCCAACTGTTTTCTCCATTCAGGACCATATAGCTTGTGGAAAATACAATCAAAAGGACCTTGTTCGATTAATGGTTTATTCAGATCGATTGGGATTAGATCAATACCTTGTTCTTGGGCATGATTGACGAGGGAATCTTGAATAAAGCTGCTTACTTTCTTTGGTGCAAGTACGTAACCAAAGCGAAATCTCCTTTCTGACATGGCTGTTAATTGAGAGATGCGAGCAACAAGGGGATGTACTAAATTTGCATTTGTTAAGGAGAGGTATTTGACAGATTCGTTTTTTAGTGTTTCTGGGATGGAGCAAAAACGTAGCGGGACGCGTGGCACGTTGCCGAGGATCGACCCCACGTCGCTTTTAATTGTTTTTATTTTTTATTATAAGTCACATTTATAATATAGAGATTATTTGCATTAATTAAATGATAAGGTTAGTATAGTATATATTACTCTATTATTGTCTATCTATCTATATCTATATTATTATAAAAACACAAATACAACGTTGATAGACCAAAATAGTCCTAAAATTATTTTCACTAAAAGTCATAAGAAATGGACACAACTTGAAATAATACACGTAAAAATAAAGAGTTGTAATTGTAATAGATAATAGAAACTGTACTTAGTACTTAAGATTTTATACCAAACTAGATGTTGTTGGCCCGTGCTAGCACGGACCCAACAATTTGTGTTATATTATGTTTGGACAAAAATGTCTTTTAATATTTTTGCACGATCATTATGAGAATTAGTCAATAATACTAATTGTAAAGTTATTTGATTAAACTATCATTATATCGCATGATAAATGCAAATAAGCATAGAAAATTTTTAAAAAAAATATTATATATTTATATCAGTTATTAGAGCAAATGTAAATTTTAAAAAAAATATTTGTTACAATAACACTAATTAAGTTAATTCGAAAAAGTTAACACGATACTTATATTTTACGGGGGGTATAATGTATCTTACTTGAGCAGATACTGTTTGTGTTTACTATATTACTCAAAATTTAGATATTATAGCTTACTTAGTTGTTATCTAAATTTTCTAAAATGTTATTTCATTTATAGTATTCGGTCTTGAGAAAGTACTCAATGTAGAAAATAGCAGTCCAACTAATACCTTTTATTTTCTTAAGAATGAAATTTAAAAGTGATGCTAAAAATAGTAAAGAGTTGCACTATTATATTTTTATAAAATGAAAAATAGATGTTTGATTTTCTTTTTTTAAATAGTTGATATAATAATTAATGAGTTAAGACTAAAATGGATAAATGTGATTGAGAAAAAAGGTGGTATATAATAAAAAATGACTAAGATCCAATATTAAGCTATATTTGTATTATTCTCTTTGGCTTTAAAGAATGATAGTGACTGATCATGCCCAACTATTCCTTATAAAAAGGACTAAGCGGTCGTTGCAAATATAATTCGGTTTACAAGTCCGGAGTCGAATCTCACAGAGAACTAAGGCTTAGCTACAGCTGTTCAATATCGCTAAGAAACACAAGTCCAAGTAATTTCCTAATTATAAAGATTATAATATTTATTTTTATCTAATTAACTAGCAAATATTGTAAAGCAGTAAAACTATCAATTAACATGGATGAAATTATAGACAAGACTAAGGAGGTCTAGAGTTATGATTTCCCCAATTGTCGGAATCCTTTCCTCTTCGTTTCCTATAAATTTGCCTAAGTCTTCTCTATCGACCATGAGCACTCTAACTGTCGTAACTCTCTCCCGAGTAATTACCACAATTTACTAGGCATATTCTCCCGAATTACGCTAGCTGGCATTAAGTACAGCTCACTCAGATCGCACCAAGGTTTCGTTATCCCTAATTCCACCTTTAAAC